CATGCTATCAAAGAGCACTAAACTATCTCCTGATTCCTGTTTGGGGCCAGCTGCTGACAAGTGACCCAACACAGAGAGAGATTTCCCAGGTTTTTCAATGTTGTGCCTCCCAATCTCAAGATCTGTGAGCTGACCAGACAGTTTAGACCTTCTATGTGCTTTTCACAGTAATGGCTATGCCAAAGTCCGCCCTTCACATGTGACCACTGAGGCCACCTTATAATGATGGACAGTGTTTGGGATCTCTGTAGACTCATGCAGTTCAGAAATATACACAGGCCTTGGAAAGACCTTGCCTGGTTTCTCTTGAACCCATGGCTAAGAGCCACTCTTGTCAGTGTGGTAAGTGCAATTCAGGATCTCAGGGTATCAGCATCTGGGTTCACATTTTGACGTTTGCACTTAAGAGCTTGTGTGCTTGGGCACATTCATCTCTGTGCCTCAGTTTCTCCATCTGAAGAGTGCCATTAGCAATCAAACCACTACACTGGTGCTGAGGGTTGAGTGGTTAGTGAAGTAAAGCATGCCATGTAAACCCTCAGGAAGGTTCCTTAGAGAGGAAACGTCTTGCCTGAGATCCATTAACTTAACAAAACTCAGAGCTGCATTCAAACCCTGGGGTCCAAGCTCCCAGGTCAGTGCTCTTTCCATGGCACACAGCTGCCTTGTCTAAAAATGGCCACTTTCTCTTAAGCCAGATCTTTAAGGAGTTTAAGGACTCAGACAAAGGTCTCAGAAGTGCCTTTGGTGACTGCCTGAGTACACACTAAGTGGCCATTTCCCAAAATCATGTGCAAGATGCTTCCAGAAGGTATAAGTTGTCTGCCCCAACAGCTATCTGTTCAAACATGAGGAACACCAGTTTACTAGGGAGAGATGGATTATCTACATAACATATTGGTGTTCTAAAATGTGTGAAACTGGTGATGGGTATTAAGGAGGGCACGTACTGCATGGAGCACTGGGTGTTACACGAAAACAATGGATCGTGGATCACCACATCAAAAACTAATGATGTATTGTATGGTGACTAACATAACATAATAAAATTTTTTTTAAAAATGTGTGAAACTGTATCATCTTGTCTGATTTATTCCTCCTAAATGTGAGTTCCTCAAGCTAAGACTTGTTGCCATGTCATGCCAATAACCATAGCTTCACCTTTGAAAAGAGCTCTGGATGAAGACTCAGGGGACCTGAGTTGTGCATGACATCAAAACAACATTCATAGAGTCTTGTTCTTTTTTTAAAGCTGGAGTTCTATATGCAAAATATGCAATTATCTATGTGCATAAATTTTTATTTCTCTTTACATCTCAAAACGTTACCTTTTGGGCACCTGGGTGGCTCAGTCGTTAAGCATCTGCTTTCGGCTCAGGTCATGATCTCAGGGTCCTGGGATCGAGCCCCACATCAGGCTCCCTGCTCCGCGGGAAGCCTGCTTCTCCCTCTCCCACTCCCCCTGTTTGTGTTCCCTCTCTCGCTGTGCCTCTCTCTGTCAAATAAATAAATAAAATCTTAAAAAAAAAAAGTTACCTTTTATTTTTTTATCTATGTTACTAACTCCCTATGTACTTGCTTATCAGTCTCTGTCAATGGATTTCTTTGTCTCTCATTGTGTGTGAAAGGCGGGATACTCGATGGATATATGTAAAAATATATATATTCTCTATTTTCACCAGTCTATACCTCTGGGGAGGGTAACAGGTTGAGTGAAAGCTTATCGCTGTTATTTCTGTAAACCTATACTTTGGGATAACGGTCGATGTAAAGGATGCAATGTAAAAGAAAATGTGTGTTTTGGTATGTAAGCTTAACAAGCTAGACACATTCTTCTCAGCTGTTATGGAAAACTAGTCATATGAAGGGAAGCAGCATGTGCCCAAATATATTGAACTCAAGACACATTTCAGGAGAAGGGAGGTTGAAGGCATGTGAAGACAAAAGTAGAGGGTTTCACATGCCAGGAGCATGGAAATCACCTCTCCATCCTAAGAACACAAAAAAGCCTGAAGAGACTGAAAAATCAACCACTCTTCTGGGATCCATAAGAGAGGGGAGGACACAGGGCAAACGATGGCCCTCAGGAGACAGAAAAGGGAACACAGGGAATCCAGGTTTCCTGGAGCACAGACTCTCTAGCAGAACACACTGTTTTCTCAAGCTCACCTGGAACATTCAGCAAAAGACACCACATGCTGGGCCATAAAACATACCTCAACACACTGAAAAGAGGAGAAGTAATACAACAGCTGCTCTCAGACCTCTGTGAAATTAAACTAGAGATCAACAACTGGAAGAAATCTTGGAAAATCCCCCAATAGCTGGAGATTGAAAAATACACTTCTGAATAACACGATGGTCAAAGAAGAAGTCTCAAGAGAAACTTTCAAATAGTTTGAACTAAATGAGATGAAAATGTACATTGACAAAAATTTATGGAAAGGCAGTGCTTGGGGGAATTTATAGTACTGAGTGTCATGTGTTGGAAAATAAGAGAGATTTAAAGTGAATAGGCTTCCTCCACAGAAAACAAGGCAAAAAAGAGTAATGAAACATAAAGCAAGCAAGAGAGAAAATAATATCATTGCAGATACCAATGAAATGGAAAACTTTCTAATTCTCAGACAAAATTAACAAAACCAAGACAAAAGCTGGTTCTTTGTAAATATCAGTCAAATGGATAAAGCTCTAGCCTGACTCACCATGAAGAAAGAGAGAAGACACACATTAATACAGATGGAAGAGGAGTCGTCACTACTGATCCTGTGGAGGTTGAAAGGATTCTAAAGTAATACATGGTAAGATTCTAGGATACCTTAAACAAAAGAGGCCAATTCCTTCAAAGACAGAAACTACCAAAACCCACACAAGGGAAATAGATTATCTGAATAGGCACGTATCAAAGACACTTAATCAATAGTTAATATGCGAAAGGAAGTGCCGGCCCCAGGGTGGTTGACTGGTGACTTCTATCAAATCTTTTTTTTTTTTTCATTTTTTTTTTTAAGATTTTATTTATTTGCGAGAGAGAGAATGAGAGACAGAGAGCATGAGAGAGAGGAGGGTCAGAGGGAGAAGCAGACTCCCTGCTGAGCAGGGAGCCCGATGTGGGATTTGATCCCTGGACTCCAGGATCATGACCTGAGCCGAAGGCAGTCGCTTAACCAACTGAGCCACCCGAGCGCCCGACTTCTATCAAATCTTAAAAAGCCTAACAGTCTTGCTGTATAATCCAGCCATATCGCTCTTAGGTATTTACCCAGTTGAGTTGAAAAATTATGTCCACACGAAAACTGGCCCAGGAGTGCTCATGTCAGCTTTATTTAGGAACACCAAAACTAGAGGCAACTAAGCTGTCCATCACTAGGTGAATGGATAAACAACTAACCATACTCCCATACAATGAAACACGATTCTGTAATAAAAATAGCTGAGCTATCGGGGCGCATAGTTGGCTCACTCGGTTAAGCATCCAACTCTTGAATTTAGCTCAGGTCCTGATCTCCGGGTCATGATATCTAGCCCCATGTCAGGCAGGCTCTGTGCTGAGCATGGAGCCTGCTTAAGATTCTCTCTCCCTCTTCTTCTGCCCCTCCACCCACACCGTCACTCTTTCTCTATCTAAAACAGTGATAAAAATAAAATAAAATAAAAATCATTGCGCTATCATGTCACAAAAAGACATCAATGAATGTTAACTGTATAGACAGAAGCGAAAGAAGTCAGTCTGGAAAAGCAGCATGGTTTATGGTTCCAACTCTACGATATTCTGGAAAAAGGAA